AGAATGGTTGAGAAAGATTGGCAAAACAATGTTACGAAGTGGATTCGCAGAAACAGAGAAAGAAGAAACTAGCACTACATCCAGATCATGCCTAGGTGAGTTTTTTTGTCAAAGTAGAATAATAACAAAGTTCTCATTGCTTTTGTAATCTATAATTGATTTTCCTTTGTTCTTTTTTTTTTTTTCTATTTGTCAAGGTGGCTTTCGACCAGAATCCAATGGACCCTGCTTCTCTAGCATCTGGCTTTTCCGTGGCAGTGGTTTGAACAATTCAGGGTGTTCTTAGTGGATAATTTGCTTTTCATGTTCAGCAGATTTCATCTGAAGGTTTATGTGGAAAAGACAAGTTGTAAAGAAGGTTTTTTTTTCCTATGAATTTAGGATTTGTATTGAAAATGTTGTAATTTGCAAGACTTTAATTTAAAATGTCCCAATGTTTTTATTTTAAATTTTTAATTAATTTTCTGAATTTTCTTCCCAACCGTACACATGGATCCCACAAAGTGACCGCTTTCCTTTCCTATGCAAAATTCTTTCCTTTCTAATCATGGATTGCTCTTTGCATGGTGATTTGATTCATAGACAGGTAAATTTTCATTTTACTTTTTTTTTTCTTTTTACCTGTTTTGAGTTTGGTTTGGTTTGGTTGTTATTGCTATTGCTTGAAAGGTTGCTTTGAAGCAAAATTATGCAATTGATTAAATGAACAATGACTGGAATAATTAGTTACTTCATATAAACGTAGAATTATGCATTTCATTATCTAAATAAGTTACATTTTTATTTTTAATTCTTAAAAAATGAATGCCTTTTTGCGTTTGCTTAGCTTGATGTATTTATTGAATGCTGGATTTATTTGTGTTTAGTTTTTCAATTTTACCTTCAATGGATGATACAGTTGTAGAAAGTGCAAAGTGAAATGAACATAATTTGTTTTTTTTTTGTAGAGTTTCATGTAAACTTTTAGTTGCAAGAAAAAATACAAAGTGCAGTTTCCTAACTCCTCTCCTTTTTATCATCTTTGAAGCTTTTCTTTTAGTTTTGTCACACACTGCTTCTTGCATGTGAAATGAATTTCTTACTTTTTGAGCTTTCTCTCTTTTTCTTGGAAAGAAACCAAACAGAAGAAGCTATCTCTCTGGTTCTCACTGGAATTGTAATAATTATAATCATTCGACTTTCTTAAAGTTGTTTTGTTGATGACCTGAATTTGTTGCAATCTATAATAAGTTCCTTTATTCAATAAATTTTTAATTTTTTATTACCTCAACTGCGTACAAAAATTATTTAATAGCTGCATTTTTAATTTATATTACCTCAATTACATACAAAAATGATTTAATATCTGCATTTTTCTGTTAGGAAAATCGAACAGAAAATTATGGATTAATTTTAGCAGTAAAACCGAAAACTCCAATAAATGGGGCATTTTTGGGAAATTTTCAATTCAATTATTTGATTTTTTATGTTTAATTTATTTTAAAAGTTATATAACTAAAATATGAATTTTATTATCATTTTTTTGTTAATAAAAGGGAACAAATGACTGAATCAATTGAATCCGTAACAAGAAACACTGCATCTATTTCATCTGCTTCAACTAATGATCCCAATCACTGTATTTATTACCTTTGTCACGCTGACCATCTTGAATCAGTGGTTGTAAATACCAAACTCACCACAGACGACTATGCAGCTTGGAAACGTTCTTTCCTACTAGCCTTATCAATTAGTAATAAGGTTGGATTTATAAATGATTCCATCCTTAAGCCTTCAATCACTGATGATTTATACCCAACATGGAATAGATGCAATAACTTAATAGTGGCTTCGTTGTTAGACTCCATTTCTTAACTACTAGCCTCTACCATCTTCTTTATGGATTTTGCTACTGTGATTTGGAACACTAGGAAGCAAAATCATATTAGATGTATACTGTTTAATTGAAGCAAGATTTTGTTGGGCATATGGTCGACGAAGACTTGATTTTGTCTTTTGGAATTTTGGATGAAGTGATTCAAGTGTTGACGAAGACTTGCTTTTGCTTTTTGGAAGTTTGGATGTCGTGGTTGACACGTCCAGATTAAGTCACTGCTCAAAGACTTAATCTGATGACGCTTGACTAGTTGTCACTTTTCCATTCTATGGTTTTGGAGTTATAGAGATTGCCTACTTTAATTTATTCAAACATAACAATTAATAAAAAATAAAAAAAATTCTATGATTTTCTTTATTGACGCGGTTACGTGAAATTCCACAACAAATTGATAATCTTCTGAATTTGGACTACTTAGGTCTACCAGAGTGTCACCTAACCGGGGCTATTCCTTCGGTCATTGGTAACCTAACACTGCTTGAAACGCTCGATTTTAACGACAATAACTTGACAGGTATATCACATTATATTATTCAGTTGTTGTATAGTTGCAATGTTTTAATATTGGAGAATTCAAATTATTTACACACTCTTGTTTTCTCTCAAGCCTCTCTCACAAGTTGTGATCTCTCTATAAGTAAAGGGTTATTTCCTTGCATACCAAGAATCTTTAATTATTCAATTACAACTTTTACCTAATAAGACTAGTATTTTTTTTTCAAGAGCCACACTTGTTTACAAAACAAACAAGCTGAACACCAACCAATTAATTACATTATAATCCAAATCTATTTGGCAATTAAGTTAAAAAGTCCCAACATTACTCTCCCATCTATTCCAATGGTGTAGAGATAATGAAAATTTTCATCTTCCAAAACAAAAAGAATAAAATGTTTTCAAATAAAAATCAAGCATTTTGTTTAGTTCATGTGTAGACAACTTGAGCTCACTACACAAACTATCCTCAACTGCATCAAATGCCTTTTCGCTTACGGGCGATATATTGTTTGCATGATCATTTTATTAACAATGGCATTTTGGTTGTATGACTAATAAAATCCACTTCATAAAAAAATACATAAAATTAGCAATAGCAAGATGTATGTGTAAACAACTCTTTCTTTTGTTTCTGTGATTTATTTGTGGATCATTAGAAGAATGGAACGACTCTTTGATTTTGTGGCAGGTAAAATACCACTTCAGATTGGCAACCTACCAAAATTGGAAGGCTTGTACATAGGAAATAACCATATCTCTGGACTCATCCCTCCTCCTATCTTTAACACCTCGACCTTGAAGTTCATTGTACTAGTTCTAAATCGGCTCCCGGGTATCTTCCATCAAGCACAGGTATCAGGCTTCCGAAACTTGAAATCCTTCAACTTGGAGGAAACGAACTCAGTGGACCCATACCTACCTCTATCTCCAATGCCTCTCGGCTTACTATGCTTGGCCTGGAAATGAATTCATTTTCCGGATATGTTCCTGTTGACCTTGGCAATCTAAGAGATCTACAAGTACTCGGCCTAGGGACTAATAATTTGGCTAGCACACCATCTTCAGGTTTGAGCTTTCTATCGTCTTTGACAAATTGCAAAGACTTGAAATTTTTGGCATTTGATGCAAATCCATTGATCAGTGGTAAACTTCCTATTTCTATAGGAAACCTCTCTGTCCAAGAATTTAACGCTTATGGTTGCAACATTAAAGGCAGTATTCCAAGAGAAATTGGCAACCTAAGCAACTTGATTGGCTTGAACTTAGATAACAATGTACTGATTGCTATTGCCACCACAATCGGAAGATTACGGAATTTGCAAAGTCTCTCTCTTCAAGGAAACAAGTTAGAAAGATCCATTCCAACTGAGTTGTGCCACTTGAAGAGTTTGGGTTTCTTGTATCTCGCGGGTAACAAATTGGTTGGACCAATACCAGCATGCTTGGGTGATCTTATTTCTCTTAGACATTTACTTTTAGATCGCAACAAGTTTACTGGCTTAATACCCTCAACCTTGACAAGGCTTGTAGATATCTTGCAACTAAACTTGTCTTCCAATACTCTACGTGGGGCTCTCCCGATTGACATTGGAAAGTGGAAGGTTGTTAATAATATTGATTTTTCCAAAAATCAATTACCAGGTGAAATCCCGATAAGCATTGGTGATCTTAAAGACCTGACTTATCTCTCATTATCTGATAACAGATTTCAAGGGTCTATATCTGAGTCATTCGGGAACCTGAAAAGATTGCAGTTCTTGGATTTGTCAAAGAATAATTTCTCTGGAATCATTCCCAAGCCCTTAGAAAAACTCTTGTATCTTGAATATTTCAATGTCTCTTTCAATAGACTACAAGGAAAAATTTCAGATGGAGGAACCTTTCCCAACAACTCTGTTCGATCATTTATGGGGAATAAAGCACTATGTACTACACCTCGACTACAGCTTCCACTCCCACCATGCAAAACTAATTCTTTTAGGCATCATTCTAAGAAAGCTATTAAGCTAGTGTAGACACCATAAATAAAATAAAATAATTAATTAATAAAAAAAACAAAAAAAAGGGTTGGAAGCACTCGGCTTCCATTGTCAACAAAATACAGAGCATTGATTGCTCCTCTGACAGCTGAGATTTGAGATCATTTTTCGTGGATTATTTTTTACTTGAAGGCGACCCATCCGGAATTCATGCTGAGAAAAGCATGAATCCCTTTTCTGATTGACCAAAAATTTGGACAATAGGGTTCTATAAGAACCCAAAAATTCCAGTGGAAAGAGGAGGTCTGGAGGAGGAACAGAGGGAGAAAAAGAAAAACAAAGACAAGAAAAAACCCAGATCCTAATTTCTGTTAATCTATCAATTGGTAAAATACCCAACAAATCACAAAAAAAATAACCTTATTTTCTGCTATCATTGAGAGCCACAATAGAAACAAAAAATAATAATAAAAGAAAAAAATGCTGTAAAGAATGAGTGAAGCAAGTTAAGGGAGTTTTTTTCGGGTTCGTTTTTTGAAGGGTGCGGTGCCGGCGAACGGAGAGGGAGAGAAGCTTGAACTTTGGGTGCTTTAGAGCTGAACGGCAGCACAAGGGGCAGAGGCCGGCGAAGAAAGAAGAAAGAAAGAGAAAGGAAGGAAGAAGAAAGAGAAAAAAAGAAAAAGAATTGATATTTCTCCTGTATTTTCAGAGATTCATATCAGAACTCAATAGAGCTAAGGAAGAATTCCTAGAATTTTCTATTTAAACGTTTAAGTTTATACCAATTTTCATTTATGAAACGTTTGAAACATAAATTTAGAAAAGTGAATCTGAATTTTATTTAGTATATAACATGGTGAGGACGAAAACAAGCATTATTCAAAAATTAGTAAATATTCAATATATTTATTTATTTCAAAGAATAAAGGACCAATTTCTTTTTCTTCTTTTGGCCACATAGCTTATCAAGTTTATGCCCAAAGGTACAGACCTATACCTTAAATTTCTTTAGAACAAAGAGAATGACATGCTGTAAATTAATTTCTTCAGAAAAAGAGAACAAGAGCAGTGGGAAGATAAAGTCATGAAATGGCCAATCTTCAATATGAATTGATAATTAAGGGAGGATGTTACATAAAGATCACTAGTTATACCCTTAACATTTTTCTACGCTAATTGTTAAAAAGGACATCAGTCAATGTGGGTTGGTCCGTTAACAAATATCTCATGGTAATCCTTTTCGCTGTATACATTAGAATGTTTTACATTTTTTCCTAGCCACAAAATGTAAACTTGCAATTTGAATTGGATGGTGGAATTTTTTTTTTAAATTTGAAGAAAAGAGATTTTGAATTCTATTGTTTAAGCAACGGATTATGTACCAATCAATGATTCAAACATTCGGTGCTATTAAATAGTGAAATTTGATTATTATATGAGACTTAATCATAATCTTTCTAAACTACAAGTTTTCAACATACAGCTACACTTAAAGTGCATTGTTTCTTTTTTATAAAAAAGAAATATCTATCCTTTTAATTGAAAATTAATTTTGATATTGTCTTTCACTTTAGTATCTTTTGGTTAGAAAATAAGCACTAAATTCTGAAGAAGTTTTTCACTCCATTCTTTTTTTGGAACAACGAAGGACTTAAATTGATAACTCCATAGATATGTTTTTGGAAAAACGTACTGAATAAGTAATTTATTTATGCTCTTTATTATTGATTTATCGATTTTTCTATTACTATTTTATCATTTTTTATTGCAAATAGAAAATACTTGAATCCAAATTTACAAAATGTAAGATATATATTCTTACATTTACCGTTTAAGGGCATACATTGAATCCCCTATTTATACGCCATTCAAGGATAGGTTTTTTTTTATCAAAAGAGAAGGCATAGTCTTCACTATTCAATGACCCTTGCATACAAGTCCATATAGTACACACAACAGTCAACACTCTTCATGCCTTCCCTTTCTAACACGGTACTTTGCCTATCTTTTTTAATTTCCCTTTTCATTTCTTCCTCTTGGTTTCAATGTCTAAAAATAAGTAACAAGTAATAAAAGTTATCATGTGAGCATGCATGGATTCATATTTTGTATGCTGAATTTGTAATAATTTTTAATTACATGTTTTATCATAAAATATCAAATTTATGGATGATATAATAAAAATGGTCTATTTAGTAATTTTATGTTAGGCAGCGAAAGAATAAGAATGCAAAGGTTAAAGAATAGCTTTGGTCTCCATTATTGAATTAAATATTTAAAAATTACATATATAAATATATTTTCATAATTAACGTGAACTAAGGGTTCATATAACAATTAATTAACCTTGTTGAATGAAGGCTCCGTCCCATCTATTGAGAAACCATAACAGTCAATCCGATTCACGCTTTTTCCTTTTATAAACGCGACATTAGACCATGTGGGCCGGGTGACCCACCGCCTTGACCCAATTTGATAGATTTCAATTTTGAATTATTCAATGAATTTTTAATTTTCTTTATCACCTCATGTGAGTTAAATAGTACAAACGAAAATGATTTTGAGGCTGCGTTTTTATGCTAGGAAAATCCAACATAAAATTTTGGATTAATTTTAGACGTAAAATAGAAAAACTCCAACAAATGGGGGCTTTTTAGGGAGAATTTCAATTAAATTATCTGATTTTTAATTTTTAATTTTTTAAAAAATTTATAACTAAAATATGGAGTTTACTTTAATTTTTTGTTAATAAAAAGGAACAAAAATTAAATGTTTACTCCAATCATCATCTCTTTGTCTTAAAGGTCACTTTAACAGCTTTTCAAAATAAGAAAATATAGTGTATAGATTGAAAAAAATTGCATTTTTGTATTTGATTCAATATAGGGGCATATATGTTTTATATTGCAAAAGTTAGGCTTGAAATTGTTTTTTTGTTTCAAAAATAAACAAAAAGATTGGAGAGAGTTGCTTCTGTTTTTTAAAACTCAAGAATTTTTTTATATTTACAGAAAAAAAAGTTACTTCAATTAATTGATAAAAGTAAAGCTTATATTCTTGCATAATGGCATCCCTTTGCACTTATGTTCTTGCTTGAACATTATCCAAGTAATGTTAGCATTTCATGAATAGAATGAAACTTGAAAATCAAAAATCAATCTGACAAAAACAATAACACTAGTTGTTTTGAGTTGCAATTCTAAAACCAATTGTTTTGTGTCTCTACTCCACTTAGATTCCCATAATGAAATATTTTGGTCTAAAGCAAAAATGGACATTAAATGAGAATTTAAGAAGAATATGCAAATCCTACTAACGTCTCTACTGAGATAGGATTCAGCGGCCTTAACTCTTTTCAGTCTAACACAGCACAAACACTTTCATGCCCCTCAGCCTCAACCACAACTCATTTTTGTGTAATGGGTTGCAATTCTAAGATGAATACATTTTGTGTCTCAACCACGAATCCTACTAACGTCTCAGATGGGATAGGATCAGTGCGCTCCATGCTTTTCATTCTAACATGCCACCAACTCTTTTTTCCAATAATTTAGTTTTGATTTTAGGCAAACACTTTTTCTGTTGAAAATTCTGTACAGAGCGAATAATGTTTTAATTTGAGAAGACTTGACTCGAAATGCATTAATAGAAAACAACTTAGAAGGATTTTGGAATGATTTGGTGGTTCACTTGAAAAAAAGATGCTCTAGTAGTTCACTTTTCATGTCCCTCAATCTCAACCACAAAGCAGTAGAAGTTAGTCTTAGTTGAACGTAAATGGCAAGTTTCAGATGTTTATATTGCTTTCGGTGTTTTGGTGATTACGACAAGTAGAGCAGTCATGGATCATGATGTTGATCCAGTCAAAGCAAATAATTATGAAAATGAGATGACATTGTATTGTGTTATCAAAATTTTTTCCAATATATTCAAGCATGAAACTGTTTTTGATAATTGTTGTCATGAACTTATAAGATTTGATCAACTTTGTTATAATGCATTAGTGAAAAAAAATCTTCAAAATCTTCTATTTAGAAATAGCATTACGTCAGTGATTTTTTTCAAAGATTGCTCAAGTATGGATTAAATGTACGTTAGTTGGTAAGGATGTTTCACCCACTCCTCCTTGAAAAGGTCAATAATTTACTTTTAATACATTTTTTTTTCAATGAAAAAATTTCAAACTGTTGGAGAAATAAAAAATAATCTCAACTTTTGGAGAAATAAAAAGTTTGATAACAATAGATTTTACCTCAAATTTATAATTTTTAAGGCAGATACAACCTCAAATTTTCAGGCCCTCAAATCAAAAATTTTCTTATTAAGGTTTTTGAGAAAACGATAAGTAGATTTTTTTTTAAAAAAGAGAATATGTTTAAATTAAAAAAATAATATAAGAGGTATTTATGCCTTAAAATATTTATATAGTGTCAAGTCTAGTTTTTTTTAATTGTTGATTAACTGTGTTAACCGTTAAGAGATCAAAAACATAATTTTTGAAATAAAAGGAACCAAAATATCCCTTTAAAGTGTTTTGAGAAGGCTTTTTGGATTTTACTCCATTCATACATGTGATTCATAATTCATGATTGAAGTTACTCATGTAAAAGATGAAGAAAAATGTATTGTAAAATAATAGAATTTTTATATCTCAAGATTTTTATTCCAAAATTTTGTCTCAGTGCCAAAAGACAAGACTTGTTAATTTTGTTCCTGCCGTGATCTCTAAAAATGACGTGTTCATCCCAGGTTAGGTTGGATTAATGCCAATTCAATCAAGGGAATAACTGCCGCAGTAAGTTGGGAACTGAGCAAATATGAACTTCTTCAGCAGTAGAAAATCTATAGATTTTTGGAGTTCCTAATTTTACTAAAAATTATACGAATAATGCACTTATATAATCACCTGTAATAGTAATGGAGGACGAAGAAACTAACAATACAAGTAGTCATGCTTAAGAAATTATATGCTCATAAATCATGTCTACAAAAACATGTCTAAGATTTTACTTTGAAAGAGAGTCATCATGACTTGG